ATTTTTTGGGGAATTTTTGGGATTTTTTTGGGATTTTTTTTGAGATTTTTTGGGGATTTTTCACGATTTTTTTGGGAATTTTTTGGGGATTTTTTTGATTTTTTGGGGATTTTTTCGGGAATTTTTTGGAATTTTTGGGGTTTTCCTTGGGGATTTTCAGGGCGATTTTTCCGTGAATTTTTGGGGAATTTTCGATATTTCTCGGGAACATTTTTAGGAATTTCGGGGGGAAATTTTGGGAAAATCTTGGGAACTTTTTAGGGATTTTCTGGGGGAGATTTTGGACTTTTTGGGGAATTTTTTTGGGAATTTCTGGGTCATTTTTGGGTCAATTTTGGGTCATTTTTGCTCGTTTTTTCCATGTTTTTTCACCGTTTTTTCCCATTTTTTTCACCGTTTTTTCCCGTTTTTTCCCCGTTTTTTCCCGTTTTTTCACCGTTTTTCCCCTTTTCCCCCCGTTTTTTCCCGTTTTCCCGTGTTTTTGCCCCGTTTCCAGGTGCGTCCCTTCACCCTGGGGCAGCTCAAGGAGCTCCTGGGCCGCACCGGGCGCCTCAAGGACGACGGATTCTGGATCGACCGCATCAAATCCCACTGCTTCGTCACGGTGAGAGGGGCAAAACGGGGCGAAAAACCGGGAATTCGGGAAAAAAACGGGGATTTGGGGAGAAAAAACGGGGTTTCGGGGAAAAAAAACGGGATTTTTTGGGGAAAAAACGCGGATTTTTAGGGCAAAAATGCGAATTTTTAAGGGAAAAATGCGAATTTTTGGAGGTGAAATTTGGTTTTTTTAGGGGGAAGTGCCGGATTTTTTTAGGGGTAAAATGGTGATTTTTGGGAAAAAATGTGAGTTTTTGGGGAAAATGATGAGTTTTTTGGGATAAAATTTTATTTAGTTAGAAAATGTGAGTTTTTGGGGGGGAAAACGGCGGTTTTTGGGGGAAAAGGGAAGATTTTAGGGAGAAAATTGGGGTTTTTAGGGGGAAAATGGGAGTTTTAAGGAAAAATGGATTTTTAGGGAAAAATAGGGATTTTTTTAGGGGGAAATCAGGAGTTTTTAGGAGGATTTGGGGGTTTTTTAGGGGAAATTGGATCAAATCCCACTGCTTCGTCACGGTGAGAGGGGCCAAATGGGGTGAAAAACCGGGAATTTGGGAAAAAACGGGATTCTGGAAAAAAAACGGGCTCGAAAAAGGGGAAATTTGGGAAAAAAACGGGATTTTTGGGGGGAAAAGTGGGAATTTTTAAGGGAAAAATGGGAGTTCTTAGGGGAAAAATGGGATTTTTTTAGTGGAAAAACGGGATTTTTGGGGAAAAAAGTAAATTTTGGGGGTAAATACAGAGATTTTTGGGTTAAAAAGGTGAGGTTTTGGGGAAAAATAGGAATTTTTTGGGAAAATTTTAAGTTTTAAGGGATGAAATTTAATTTTTTTGAGAAATTTTGGGTTTTTTGGAGAAAAAGTTTGGTTTTTTTAGGGAAAATGTGGGTTTTTAGAGGAAAAATTGGATTTTTTGGGGAAAAATGGGGTTTTTTAGGGAAAAATTTCCTGAATATCTTAAAATTCCGGAAATTTTCCCGAATTCCCCAAAACATCCCAAAGTTTTCCAAAAAAAACCCCAAAAATTCCCTTTTTGCCCCTAAACCCCCCAAATTTCACCAAAATCGCCCAAAAAAATCCCCAAAATTCCTTTATTTGTCCTAAAAATCACAAAATTTTCCCAAAATCCCAAAATTTCCCTGAAAATCCCCGAAATATCCCCAAATCCACCCAAAAAAACCCCAAAAAATTCACTTTTCACCCCTAAAATCCCCAAATTTCGTCAAAATAGCCCAAAATTTTCTCCCAAAGTTCCTTTAAGTTTTCCCAAAATTCCCAAAATTTCCCCAAAATTCCCAAAGTTTCCCCAAAATCCCCAAAATTCCCCCAAAACCACCCCAAAAAAACCCAAAAATTCAGTTTTGACCCCAAAAACCCCAAATTTCACCAAAACACCCCCAAAACTTTACTCCCAAAAATCCTTAAAAATTCCTGAAATTTCCCCAAAATCCCCAAAAATTTCCCCAAAAATCCCGAAAAATTTCCCCAAAAATTCCAAAAAATCCCCCCAAAAACCCCCAAAAATCCCCGAAATTCCCCCAAAAATCCCCCCAAAAATCCCCAAAAAACCCCAAAAATTCACTTTTAACCCCAAAAATCCCCCAATTCCACCAAAACCCCCCCAAAACTTTACTCCCAAAAATCCTTAAACCTTCCCAAAATTCCCAAAATCCCCAAAATCCCCAAAATTCCCCCAAAACCCACCCCAGAAAAACCCAAAAATTCACTTTTAACCCCAAAAATCCCTGAATTTCACCAAAACCCCCCCCAAATTTTCTCCCAAAATTCCTTTAAGTTTTCCCAAAATTCCCAAAATTTCCCCAAAAATTCCCAAAATTCCCCCAAACTCCCCAAAATTCCCCCAAA